GAGTTCAGTGCTAATCCCGTTAAGATTGCAAAACACACATTTTGCAGAATGAGACATTAACATGTATTGGTTTGCTCTTATAAGTATGACATTCCGTCGAATTTTGAGGCAACCTCCAGGTTCAACTTAGCTATTGCACATGGCATTCTTTGGTGTAGTCACAGCCACAGGAGGATCATTCAAATGCATTATGTACCACAAAGTTCTTTTCCTGATAGAGCAATAGCTTGGTGGCTGTGTTGCTATCAGAGGGAGCTGTGCTGCACAAGATGAAGGGTTAGCTACTCTCCTTGATAAAGACAGAGACTTTCCATTACGGGCCAGATTTTTACAAACTAGCCTCCCTTTTTGTGCCCAAACATTAAGAACAGAAGAAAGAACTGGCATATTGTATCAGCCCAATGGTCCATCTACCTCAGTATACTGTAATCAGACAGTGGCTGGTGCCAGATGTGTCAGAAGGGAGGAACAGAACAGGGCAATTATTGAGTGATCCAGTCCCAGCTTCGGACTGTTGGAGGTTTAGGGACACCTAGAGCATGGGGTTGCATCCTTGACCATCTTGACCAATAGCCATTTATGGACCCATCCTCCATGCACTTACCTAATTCTTTTTTGAACCCAGTTATACTTTTGGCCTTTACAACATCTCCTGGCCATGAGTTCCACAGATTGACTGTGCATTACATGAAGAAGTATTTCCTAATGTTTGTTTTAAACCTGCTGCCTATTAATTTCACTGGGGTTCTCGTGTTATGTGAAGGGGTAAATAACATTTTATTCCCCTTCTCCACAGCATACATGATTTTTATATACTTCTATCATATTTCCCATTAGCTGAGTAGACCCAGTCTTTTTAATCTCTCCTCAGAGGTGTGAAACAGCTTCCAGATAATAATTTTTGTTGTCCTTCTCTGTACTTTTTCCAATGCTAATATATCTTTTTGAGATGGGGTGACCAGAACTGCATGCAGTAGTCAAGGTGTGAGTGTACCATGGTGGACAGGTAATTAGATATATGCACACAGAGCCAGGAGAAACAACACTATGAGCCGTACACATGGAGAACCAGTTTTGAACCACTGGACCATTACACATGAGATTTTTCAATACCTAGAACCAGTCATAGGTTGCACTCTATCCCTACTACCAGGACCTTACACTAACAAACAGGCATTTGAAGTGCTGTATTTTTTAGAGTTGTTTGGGATTTGGTGGGCTAGCTCTCCCCGAAGCTGGTCCTTCTCAGACCGGAAGGCTCATTGTCTGAGAGAGACCCCTGCTCTGAGCATATGTTTCTTTATCAGCTCTTCTTAAAGCTAGCCCCAGTGTGCTTTGACTTCAGAAGACTCAGCTCTGGTACCTAACCACAGTCTCTACATTCCCTGGCCAGCAGGAGCCTAAGTGTGCTGTAGAGGCATCTCATTCAGCCCTATAATGGGGAGGGAGTACCTAGTTTCACCTAATAGTTGAGCTAATTAAGGGACAGCATGAAGAGGTTTAGAAGGGAGTTGGTCACACATCACGTTGTGCTTTTCTGTGGCCATATTCAGCAGTCAGCTGTGCCCCCTTCTGTAAAGCCCTGTCACTGTACATGGATATGGACAGTTCTTCCGAAAGGGCAGGCCCCTTAGCAACTCTAGCCCTCATTTTGCTTATTTTGGGGTCTCATTTCATTTGAGGTCCCAGTCTGTGTGTCCTACTGTGGCAGTTGACATCTGGGGTTAGCAAGCTAAAAGCCTCCACATTTCAAAGTTGTTTATTATTATTTAGGAGTGAATCTGTGTGTTGTGGCACAGCCATATAGCAGGGCGCAAGAGATGAAAGAATTAGGAAAGAAAGATGGCAAGCTGCCGGCTCAGGATTATTTATTTTATGATATGGTGTCTTGTTTAAAGATGATTAATTATCAAATATAAGCACACAATAGATATTATTTATAGACCACCTACCTTTAAATTTAACCACATTTTAAAACCTAGCTTTTTAAAAAAAATTTAGCTATCATTATAATTCTGGTCCATCTTTAGTGCCGTTTGATTAATCAGACCTGTTCTTTTATGGTTACAGATGCCAATGATGGGCAAGGTTTTGGATCAACTGTTACAGCAGCCATTATTGGAATTGTAGTTCCTCTTGGTAAGCAGGTTTGATTTAAGCTTAGAATGAGCTTAACTTTTTGACAACTTTTTGTAAAAGACTTTTCTGGAGCACAAGGAACTACTGTATTGCAGGTCTGAAGGGTACAGGAGCAGAGGTCCACATGGGAACAAATTTGGGGTCCACATGGGACTATGTTTGCCTTCCCCAAGTAGCCGGATGACAGCTTTTTCTCTTCTTTTCTTCAGTGGTCATTGGTTTGCTGTGTATGGGAGGGTACCTCATCTGGAGGAACTGGAAAAGGAAGAACACTAAAAGCATGAACTTTGATAACCCTGTGTACAGGAAGACAACAGAAGAAGAGGATGAAGAGGAAATCCATATTGGGAGGACTGCACAAATTGGGCATGTCTACCCAGCAGTAAGTATCTCTGAGCAAGCTCCCAAAGGAAAAGATTTTTCTTGTTAAGAAGGTTTGGCTACAGAATTATCTCAGCTGATCTTGAGGTTGGTTACAGTTACTTGGCATCAGACAATACATTAAATGAGGGGTTTGTCAGATTTTTGCCTGTTCGATTACTCTTAGACTTGTATGTGGATCCTGTTACCATATCTTTGGAACATACAGTAGGAATTTGCTATCTGAGATTAGATCAATGGTCCATTTAGTCAGGTACCCTGTCTCCAGTGGCACTGGTGCTTAAATCCCTGCCAGGCACCCCGCTGAGAAATTCATTTCTCTCAGGTATTTATAACATGCCCATCATTGTAGTGGTGAGCGCTAATAACATGCAAGAAAAATGAACAGGCCGTCCTATATACGAGGTTTTCAAAACAGGGACAATGACTGCTGCTAAATGTTAGGCTGTACCTTGATGGGGAGGGTTTTTCTCCTGACCCCAGCTTGCAGGTGGTCTTATGCCTTACTCTTTTCCACCCACTGCTTTTTCCTGCCAACAACAAAGTCCAGTTTGTGTTTGCTAGGGGGAACACAGTATTTTTCTAATTATATAATTAGACATAAACCACTAAAGAGTGAAATGCCCTGCAGTGAAGAGTGACTGAGATTCCATAGGGAGTCAAGGAAAGTTGCTGTAGCAAGATGAGGCATAGAGATGGGATGGAGGAGTAATGCTTTGCTCCACAGGTTCTGCTGTAACTGCATAATGGGACTTGCTGATGGAGGCACCAGAACCCCTGCAGAGTGGTTTCTTCAGGGAAGTGTCCCTTCAAGAAACAGGCAGCTTGGATGAATAATAACTGAGTTGTGAAGGGAAGGACAAAGAGAAGGGAGTAAAAGCAGTGCAGGTGTGAGGAAGGGCACTGTCTTAATATCGCTGAATGAGTAATAATAATAGCAATCCTTGCGCTGCTGTCATTCCTCCCATCCAAGGATTTTAATGTGCGTCACAGACATCGGTGACTTGGCCTCCCACCACATCTGTAATGCATGGGAGTAATGCTTATCCCCATTTGGGGGAAGGGGAATTGGAGGCATGAAGGACCAGGTACTAATAAGTACTACTCAGTGTAGGTGTTACTCCATTGAAATCAGTGGGATTTGGGGAGGAGGGGGGGGGGGAGAAGAGGATTCATGAGTAAGGTATCAGGTCCAAAGAGATCAAATGATTCTCTGTCACTCAAGCATTTACCACTGTGTTTTCCTTCCTCCACAGCGTGTAGCATTGAGCCTGGAAGATGATGGGTTACCATGAGGACCAAGTCGCTGCTCTAGTCCCATACAATGGAATAATATGCACTGAACAGATTCACTTTGGATCATGGAACACCCCCCGCCCCCGTCCTTTTCTTCCCCCTAATTAATTACTATTTATGTTGCAGAAGGGTAACCACAAAGTTATAATGAACTGCAAACATCCAAAGGATGTGAGAGTTTTGTATGTATAATCTTTTATACACGTTTTAACTTGTTGCACTACCCATACGTGATAGTGAAGAGGCTACTGCTGAGCTACTAACCCAGTATCCATAACCTGCCGGGTTCAATAGCTATGCGTCATTTTAAAACTATATTTATAGCGGTTTTGTAAATAGGTTGAACATGCTTTGTGGCTATCCATCAACATAAGTAAAAAAATGCTATACAAGCAGTTTAGAATATTTATTAACAAAATTGGGATATAAGATTTGTTCTGTAAAGAGGGGTGAGAGTATTTATTTTTTGTATGTTTGGCTTGCTGTGCATATATCTATCTAGGCTAGATAGATATATAGACATATAAATATATACATATATATACATATAAATATATTTTAAAACTACTAGCCCAAGTCTATGGGAATTAGGGGGGATTGAATTCTTAAGGAATGTTTATGGAAAATTTGCTTTGAAGTCTAAAGCCATTGGAGTAAGAAACAGCTGTACAATAGGATAATCAATGATTCTGTAAAATGAATGAAGCACTCCCGTAATGAATTTCTGCTGTCAAAATGGTTTACTTTGTATTTCAAGCCCAGACAAATGTACTGGCCAGGACTCAGGCACTAGCACACTTGATTTCCTTTTTTAAAAAAAATCTTTACATCAAAAATGTCTTCATACAGTAACTTTTCTTCACTTCATGTAACTCACACAGAAGAAACTCCTATTCGGTTTCAACATGGCTTTATGTCATGTCTGTCTCCATGGGGGTTATTTGGTGTAGGATGTTTTAAGAAAACCTAAATCTGTCATTTTTTTCTCCTCCATGGGAATCTTGTTTACAGCTTATAAAAAGTGATTATTTTCTCTGTCTGGTAGTCATATATCAACTCCCTGGAGATAGCTCATCACAAAATCTTTCCTTAATCCTTTTATTGCTGTGCTGCTACCGATTGTTAACACTGTTAAAATGAATGAAGTGTTAGGAAGCACAGAGATGCAGTCCAACTTGCCATACCTGGAATTCACAGCAGGTATATTCCAAGTGGATGTAGCTGGAACATCCAGCACCGTAGCAGTGCATTCACCACAGCAGGTTGTCCGTGGAATGTGGATCAATAGGTAAGGGGTTAAAGAAAAAAATGTCAGCAGACTGCCCTCGAATATACAGCTCTTGTGGTAGGATGGCTGAAAAGGTAATTGGAAAAAAACCCAAAACAACCCAATCCTGACAACAGGTCCGCAAACTGTGGTGCGTGCCCCTCTAAGGGGGGCGTGGCAGAGCCCACGCCAGCACCCACAGGAGACAGGGAGGGAACGCCATCAAGCTCCACTCCTGGCCCCACTTCCAGCCCCCAACTGCGCTCCTGGGGGAGGGTGCAGACCATTGGGGGGCGGGGGAGTGGGGAGAGTTTGGGGACCACTGCCTTACAATCTCACCTGTTCCTAAAGCTGAGCAACTATGGGACTCTCATACCAGTCCTAGATGATCTGGCACCCCGAGGCTATTCTCTACAATGGGAACAATGGTGGATGTGATGGACATCATTGTCCCTGGCAGGTTATTATGACACTAACTCATAAGTGTCACGATTTCTATAGCGTTAGAAAGAGTCAAGGAAATCTTACATTCTACTTATTTATTTATTGGCAGTGCGTGTTACAACCCACTCTAGTGAATAGTTCAGTGTTACTTTGCTAATTCTGTGGCTTCATGGTGTTCTGGTAGGGGGAAAATGCAGAGTGACATCTCTCATGCCCTGCGAGGTTTCCCTATTCCCACATAACGAACATCTTACTTCCTTCTATCACCCAATCATCATCAGGTAGCAGGAGAAGTGAAAACAATGAGTGTTTAACCTCTCAGTTTCAGGCAGGACCACATTTTCTCCCCCCCTTACTGGCTGGACCACAGCATCAACTCTTCAACAGAAGCAGCCCTTTCTCCTAAGCCAGGCCTGGCCCAAGTTGCACCAGTAGCCTCCAGCTAGGGTAAGGAACCAGGCCCTCTCCAAGCAGCAATTCCCACCCAAACTGTCTGGTAGAGGGCACTGAGTGGTGCAAAGCACTCTCTTCCCCATCATCACTGTTCGTCATGGAAAACATTACCTTGACTAGTATCAGGGGGTAGCATTCCTGCACTACTTCCTGCTCCTGGGAACGAAATTCATATTCTCCCACTTGGCACAGGTCCTCTCTTCTCATGTTAGTCAGATGCAAAAGTTCAAGTGATTTATTCTCTTTGGGCAGTTTTCTGAAGTCACCATCCCATAGCTGCCGTGTAGCATACAGCATAAATTTCCAGTGATGTCTCATTTCAATATCCATATGCTCCAACTCCCAGACACCTCTCCTGCTGTGTATGAAGGATCCAGTTCTGTTTGTTAGATACAGAGCACCCACTGTTCCAAGGGAACGATTCAAAAAAACCTATTAGAATCAATGGAAGACTTTTCCATTGGCTTTAAATCAGGCCCTAACTGATTTTAGTGGAAAAGGAGGGGGCTCAACCTCTGACAAGAGGTATTCAGCACCTCTGTGGATTGGGTCCTAAATCTGAAACTGTGCAATAGGGTGTAGAGTAACCTGTGTTGCTTTTATACATGAATCACAGTTTATGGAAGACCAAAACAAAATCTGAAGATGGGTGTTGGGCGGGGGGGAGGGAATCACACAGTTTAATGTGGGATTAAAGTTTTGGTACAGGAGTGAAGTGTAGGAAGAAAATGCTACACTATGCATCATGGAAACACTATATACCACAAACTATTTGTACAAAGGAACTATGAAGTTAAACCTCAGTTCTAAAAAATCTAAAGGAGGCGGCTTGATTACTTAAAGATCATTAAGGGAGGTGGAGAAATGTGATTCTCAGATTTCCAATATTATTTTAATCTGCAAAGTTCTTCTACTACAAGTCCATGCACTGTGTGCATGAAGGAAAGAACAAAAACTGAGCTGTACATGTGTGTGATAACACTAACAGCAAACTGTAAATATGTTTGAAGGCTCTAAATTTTGATACTTTTTTTAAAAAATAAAATAAAAAACTGTACAAATGTGTGTATAAAAAGCAGCATTTTTTTCAAACCGTTTTAAATTAATTTGATGTCCAGTGCTGGTTTCAAACTTTACAGATTTGTAACTAATCAAAAGAAGTCAGCCACCAAATGTGTTTTTTAAATAAATTATTTTAAATAAACAATGTCCTAACAATCCCAACTGTTAACACTGTAACCAGTTCTGATCTCTGTCTTGTCATAATGAAGTTCTGTTAGAATGAATTCTTGCTTGGTGCCTTTTGTGTTTCAGTTTTCATTTTATGGACAAAAGAACTGCTGGGGGGGGGGAGAATATGGTCTGTATATCTTTTGCTGTACTTACATAAAAAGGAGTACTGAAAACCAAATGAATTCATTTGTAAAACAGTGCACTGTTTCTATAGAGAGATTAAATTTTTTTATCTGGGACTTCTGATCTGTTCTGTTATTTTACAGTACATCAGTGGTTTTCTCCACAGACTATTTCTAAGTGGTCCGTGAAGGTTGTCATTACCACAGAACAGTAGTTTTCAACCTGTGGTCTGTGGACCCCTGGAGATCCGTAGACTATATGTCTAAGATTTCCAAAGAGGTCTACCCCTCCATTTGAAATTTTTAGGGGTCTGCAAATGAAAAAAGGTTGAAAACCACTGCAATACATACATGAAAAGTTGTTATTAAGAACTGCAGCTCTTAGACCTGATGCCAAAATATCAGGATCTTATGCAAATATCAGACTCTTCTGAATGACACACACACATCCAGCTAGTCTCAAGGAATGGGTCAGCTCTTAATTGCCTATAGCCAAATCAGGACATAGCGGTGTTGCTCTACATCCTAGCTGTGTAAGAATTCTCTATTCTCTTTATGGTCCCAGTCAGTCTGTATTTAACATCCTCCAGTTCTTCCAGTCTACAACTTTGCAGCCCCAACCCTGGATGCTACATAACCTTTATATGCAAATGAAGGGATACTCAATGGGCAATTCTGACTATTGTCAAGTCCTCTTTCTCTACTCATACTGTTTGTCACCTTCAAATTGCACAGAAAATGCTGCTTGTTTTAGTTATGCTTACATTATGTAAAGTTTTATATAGGTGACAGAACTAAAATCCATATCATTTGAGGTTAATATAACCAAGACAGCCTGCTGCACACAAATATATTAACCATTACAAAAAACTACATTTTGTCCCATTCTGTAAAATTGTGTTGCTTTTGGGAGGCATATGGTGCATTTGCTTGCCATACTGTAGAAGCGTTATTGCTTTTAATCTAAGCCATTTAAAGAGTGCCCAGATATTCCAACAATGGATGTCTTATAATACTCATCATTATATTAATAATAGCTTCACAAACCCAAAACAAAATTACAGCACAGCATCTACTGACATGGAGACATACACATAAGAACCAAACTTCAAAAATAACTGTTAATCTTGGATCATATCTTATGTATGGTTTGGAAGAGAAAATGGCAATCTACTACTATTCTCCCCATTACATACCAAGCCTGGATCAACCAGAAACAGGCTAAAATCTGTAACACTCACTGCTATTCATGAATTTTGAAAGCATCACAGCTCTGCCAAGTTTAACTACAGGTAACTAATACATGACTGGTTAAATAAGGAGGAAAAAATCCCCCAAATTGTACAAGATTAAAGTCAACAGAATGTACCAGAGTGATCAGATGCACTTCCTGAGATGCAGGAGATTCTTATGTCCTATAAGAGCTCCCCAAATCCTACCCACTAATCCAAACTTTGACTTTATCTGGTGCTCTCGGTAGCAACAGGGAAGTGGGCAGGATTTGTCTCCAATTGATTAGGAAACTTTGCCTCAGTGGGAAGAGACCCTCCTAACATAGAGCCAAGTGTCATAAGACCTCCCTTTAAGTCTTTTCTCTACAGTCACCTTTGTTCTTTGGAGGAAGTTTATCTACTTGATTTTTACATAAAGTGGCCATTAAATACCAGTGAGCACGTCAAATGATTATGATTTACCTCTTGTTAGAACTGAGAAAATTTAAATTGCCATCAGGTCAAGATTCTGCTTCCAGAGGTTTTTTTCAGTGTCCTGAAAAGTTTGCAGAACAAAATGAAGTGTGTAAGGGTTGCAGATAAATGGAACAAACAATCCTACAACATGCCATTTGAACAGTGTGGTAACAAGACAATTTTAAGTACCAAATTCATTAAAGGTCATTTTTATTCATTAAAAAATGTACAATATTTGTAATCTTATTTCCTTAAAGAGAACACTGTCAAATAGTTTAGGCTTTTGATTAGCCTGTTATTTTTATATTGAAATATATTCAGAAAAAATAGTTATTACCAAATCTAATAACCTAACCTGAAAACACAAAATCATCTCTGATCAAGTTTGCAGATAACACCAAAACTGGGGGAGTTGTAAATAATGAAGAAAACAAGTCACAGATACAGAGCCATCTGGCTTGCTAGTAAGCTGGGTGCAAACAATACGCATTTTAACACAGCTAAATGTAAACGTATACATCTAGGAACAAAGAATGTTGGTCTTACTTACCTGATGGAGGACTCTATCCTGGAAAGCAGTAACTCTGAAAAAGATTTGGGTATTGTGATAATCAGCTCCCAGTGTGGCTCTGTGGCCAAAAGGGCTCATGCAATTTCTGGATGTATAAAGGGGTTTTTCTTGAGTAGTAGAGAGGTTATTTTACCTCTGTATTTGGGATTGGTGCAACCACTGCTGGAATGCTGTCTCCACTTTTGGTGTCCACAGTTCAAGAAAAATGTTGATAAATTGGAGAGGGTTCAGAGAAGAGCAGTGAGAATGTTTAAGGGTTAGAAAACATGCCTTATAGCGATAAGCTAAATGGATTGAGCTCCTTGAGTCTAACAAAGAGAAGGTTAAGGGTTAACTTGATTACAATCTATAAGTACCTACATGGAAAACAAATATTTAAAATGGGCTCTTCAATCTAGCTGGGAAAGGTATAACACAATCCAATGGTTGGAAGTTGAAGTTAGAGAAATTCAGACTAGAGATAAGGTGTACATTTTTAACAATGAGCATAATTAACCATTGGAACAACTTCAAAGGTTGTGGTGGATTCGCCATCACTGACAATTTTTAAATCAAGACTGGATGTTTTTCTAAAAGATATACTCCTTTGGGGAAGTTCTATGGTCTGTGCTATACAGGAGGCCAAACCAGATGATCACAATGCCCCTTTCAGCCTTGGAATCTGTGAACAAATCTAAACAGAACAGAAAAATACCTTTCCCTTGCTGGTAGAAAATACTGCACTACAAGAATATGGTGGTGCATAAGAAAAGTTACACTGACAATGAAAAAAAAGTTATAAAGAGTAGTCTGTATAGAAAAGTCTGTACAATCTGTGGAGAGAAATGCAAAAAGTGAAACAAATAGCAAAAAATGACAAATAAGGGAAACAGAATTCCCAGCACATCAGAGTCCCAATCCTGGCAGAAGTTTTCAGGCATTCCCACTATATTTATAATTTTTCATTCCTGGTAACTTTAGGTGGTATTAGCTACGTTACCAAGAATTTTTTTTAAATATATATATTCTAACGTCACTTTTTACACATTTTATCTTAGATGGCTCATGGGACAATTTAAAATACATCTGTGTGGTAACACTGAGTTCTCTAGTTTCATTAAGACACAGTACAGCTATGTTTTTATATAAATTCTTCAGCATCTGCAATGACTGTACATCAATAGATTGTGGGTGGATTGCTGCCCTCTTCTGGATGGAGTATGTATCAGCGCCTTGTACTGACTCAGCTCGCCATTAGATCACTGGGCAGGGGAACAATGTCTTTTGAACAAAAGTCTTAAATTTCCTTCCTAATCCACATCCGATTCCTATCTAGTGACTAGGGAGAATGTGCCTCCATGGCCATGAACTGTTAGAAACTTCTCGTTACAGGGTGAAATTCACCCCTGTGCAGAGACTCACCCAAGGTCTAGGCACAAGGTCCTACTTGAGAACTTAACTGGTGCATATGTTTTGTGAGGGGTTCTCCACACGGGGGTGAATTTCGCCCACAATAACTAGTCTTCCTGGCTAGTTGAAAGCATTAGTAATTCAACTATTAACCTTAAAGACAGCAAAAAACAACCAACCAACCAACAACACAGGAGTCAACAGTGATCATTAGAAAGGAACTGTAGGAGGAGAAACATGAGAAAACATGGAAATCTCTGCTGTAGACTACAAAATATCAACTAAAAGTTGTATACCACAAAATATCAATTAAAAGTTCTACACCAAGACCCCAATTCTACAATCCACATGGCAGACCTTTGGACCACCCACTGACATCAAACCCTTTTGCAATGCGTTGCCTTAGGAACACTGATTTACATTCCAGGCCTGGTGGTCACCTGTCTTGGGCCTGTGGGAGCTGAGTAAACCATGGAGGGATGGACAGTCTCCTCCTATCTGTATTGCTGCTGCTTTGCACAGGAACCCCAATCATAATCAGGGCCCCCCATACTAAATGATCAAACAAGTAAATATAAATAATTGAACTGTTGCTTTTAGTTTCATTATAGCAATTATGATTGAATATAATCTCTGGCCAGCCAGTAAATATTCAGAAACAGAAAAAAAAAAGTCCCACCCATTTCTCCAGAAGGAAGGGGTACTGATTGAAGGATTAAGATTTAAGGTTTTGGATTAAAAATTGGTGGCAGCATCCGCCAGAAGAAACCAAGAGGCTATAGACTGAGGAATGTCCTGAGATCTGGATCTTACATGGGGTAATGGCTAGCCAGGTATCAAGTGAGAGTTGGAGAATACTGAAATTTGATTAGAAACGAACAAAAAAACTTTAACGTGGCTTAATGTATCAATTCACACTCACTGTACACAGCAGTGAAAGAGCATTCTCTCTGTGCTTCACAGCGCCAGCTATTTACAAAGGGCACCTTAAACCTATAGTTGGGGCGGGGGGGAAGAACTGAAAATACTGTAACATTTTAAGAGCTGTTAAGGCAACAATATTTATACTGAACTAGGAGTTAGAGTAATTTAAGGAAGCAAATATCCTTGGTAATTTGACAGGACAAATGGCAACATTTAATCAGTTATATTGCTGGATCATATATGATCGGGGAAAGGAGGGAGCTAAAATGTTTTCCCTAACTCCAGGTTGGTTCAGTACTTCCACATCCTTGTCTAAGGACCACAGGTTTATGTGGAGCTACACAACTTACATTTACAGCTTCCCTATACTACGGGGAAGAAACACCTCTAGGGATGAACTGATAGTCTATTTCATGACTCATTCAGTCTCTGGCCTTTGCTGAAAGTGTGCCCAACAAAGAGACAATTAGTGCCAGCTAAGTGAAAAATCTCTGACCCTATACATTTTTCTCATATAATCCAGAGCTCTCTTGAAACTGTTGGTACTTCCGGGTATAATTTTGGTCTAAACACTGAACCTGATCTGAATGGTGAGTTCAGTGTTGATAAGAAAATGAACAGCAGGAGGAAGGCTAATGTGTTTATTTAAAGGATAGTGAGTTTTGATGGTAGCGAGTTTCTTACAATAAAAAGGTTAGGTGGAGTGTGAAAATTGTTGTAGTCAACTGTCCAATGAGACAATTGGATGACAATCTGCATTAGAGCTAACATTCAGTCTATTTATGAGCTGTTAGCAATGACTGTCATATGTCCCCTGCCTTTAACAGCCTGACCTCCTGAATTGTCTGCACATTACTTCTGCATCATTAATTTGTCATGTTTGCTGTTTATTAGCCTCTCTGGTTTTGCTAATCCCACAGATGGCATGAAATCAGATAAGTCATTCTATCATTTCGAAACTAGAAAATAAAGCTGTAACCATGATTTAAATGCTTAGGGCCTGTTTCTTTGCTGCCTGGCACATTGTGTAGTCTCCCCTATGCAAAGTGGATGTAGAATGCTACCATTCTGATCTGTAGCATTTTACACCTACTTTGCAATCCCTTTGCACAGATAAAAATTATTTCACAAGGTGCCATTATGATCCCTTTATGCTGCTCTCATAGCATAATGGAGGCCAAAAAAACCCCTGGGAATTGCTCCAGCAGCGCAGATGGTCCTATGCTGCCCTCCTGTGCAGCCACTGGTGCCAGGATGTGTTGGGTACGTGGCTAGTGCAAGAGTGGATGGAGGCTATTCTGGACTGTGAGACGGCCCACTGGTTAAAAAGCTGTTTGAAGGCAAGTTTTAAGTACGGAAATTTGCTGATATGGTGCAGTATCTCTTTAAGGCTCTTACAAGTACCTTTGCAGAGTAATGAAAAGTTCAAAGAGATCTCTGAAATAGTGTGTCTAAAATATAAAGACTAGATTATTAATGTTTTAAGTTTACATAGCATGTTGTCTTGAATACAATAAGAAGGCAATAAAAAAAAGGGAGGGAAAATGACTTGAAGTATGTTAAGAATGGGGACAGGAGTTATACTTTCCATTAACAACTGTTAAAAATAAATTTGTTTCAGAGAAGGAGTGGGAGAGAGCAAAGTGGATGTACAATGCTACAAAGCTTCATTAAAATAAGGGAAGAACTCATCTACCGCTGCTGACAATACAAATTCATTTAGTGAGGCTAAATGATTCACAGTGTTCTCAAACTGAAAATTACTTAAACTACACTTCAATGCAGGGGAAAACAACTATAATTTATTTTAATATCTTGTGGTAAGGGAGGAGGTTAAGCATTAATGTGAAATTTCTAATGTCCCTGATGTAACTGGTATTCTTCATATAGGAGGAAGGGGGTAAGAATGTGAGTTGATATATTTCACCAAGTAAGGACTGTTGAACATCTGAGTCGCCTTCTTGTTTACCAAATCCAACCACCTGAAAATTCAAAGGCCAGAGGGTTACCAAGAAGACAGTAAAAGTTTGGATGCTTAAAATCTAGGGTAAGAGTGGGTCATTTTAAGCATATTTTAGCTAAACATTAAGTTTCAATCTGGACTTCATGGACACTCAATAACTATAGCAGTACAGACCAAATTAAGGGTATGTCTACACTGCAATCACAGGTATGACCGCAGCCCATGTAGACATACCTGAGCTAGCGTTGATCTAGCTAGCTCAAACCACAAGAGCAGTAAAGCCACAGCAGCATGGGCTAGCTGATAGCCACTCAAGTATATACCCAGGGTTCTAGGTGGGTTTGTACAGCCTGTGCTGCCAGTGCTTCACTATTATTGTTATTCACACTAGCTAGAGAACAAAACTAGCTCCAGGATGTCTACACTTTGCTGCAGTCACACCTCCGATTCCAGTGTAGATCTATCCATAGGCTTTTACTTCTTCCTGCAACTTTCAGAGTTAAGTAATTTATTCCTAATACTATGAAAACTTTATATAGACAAAATTAAGATTTATTCCTCTCCTCTGACATGGGTTTAAAGCAGTAAAAAGAGTTCAGATATTAATAGCTATAGGAAATGATATTTTCAATTTTATCATTTAATTACTTTTTTAAAAGTGAAGGTTGTTCATTCTGCTAGGGTGCTTCAAAGTGCTGCAAAGATGACTTACATAAGCCTCTTCACAGGAGTCTATTTTAAAAGAAGTTAGTCATAGAATGTGGGAAAGAAGAAAAGGACAGGCCCTAGAAATTAAATAAGGAAGTTACTGTTAACTCAATGGTGTGAAGCAATCTCATCTAACATCACGATGATTCCAAACATACTCACATGTATACTGAGTGCTTTCCTCTCTTTGCCTCTATGAGCTTGGAACCAGTCAACTAGGTCTGACTTAGTTAGTGATCGTAGTGCTTCAACCTAAAACCCACAAGAGTACACTTTTCAAATGTCCAAATTTCAGACACATCTTTTAAAAGCAACCTAATTCCCAACAGTTGAACAGTATTTTGAACGTTTCTACTACTCTTCTGCCATTATCCTCCAGTTCCATCCCAGAACAAATACTTGTAGCAAAATTTTAAATCCCGAAAGCAGCAGTTAGTGACAGAAACACTTGCTGATGCTTATGAAATGGAATTGCTAGACGTTTCTGTGAATTCTGAAAATCTGGTTCAAGTTGTAACTACTATTCATCTTGACAAACTTAAAACAAAGATTTCTTTATACAGATCTCTCCAGGTCACAATGCATTCAGACCTTGAGGTACTGACTCCACCCTCTAGGGCTCCATATTAATTCCTAATACTAGGTCACTATAAATTGGTGCTTAAGTATTGACAAGATGTTAAACTTTCTATTCAAGAAGCAATATTCAGTACTGATGTAACCCTGGCCCCAGTAAAGTCAGAGAGAGTTTACCATTGACTTTCACTGAGCCAGAATTTCACTCTATATTTCAAATATAAGTATCTAGTGAGACATAGTAAGACAATAACATTGGTTGACATTTAAGTTTCATTCACTACCTCATGGGCAAGTCTGTCAAAAAGATACTGCTGAGTCATTATTTCATTCCAATTTCTATCCACCTCTTCTCCAAGATAGGAATCTTCACATTCTTTAATATGTATTAGAGCACTGACCTGTAAAAGCACACTGATTATTATTCCTCTTACACGGAAGCCACCATATCGGGAAAGGGGTGGGATTCTGCTTCAACAGGGTTTAGCTAGGCTCAGGCTGCTGTATATTGAATGATTCAAAGCAAAGGTTGAACTTGTGTTAAATGCAACTGTTGGCCTCTAAGGTTGCTTTGAGTACTGAATTACTAATAGTCGTAGCATCCATTGAACAAGGCTGCATGTGTCCCCTGAGCTCATCTGGAGCCTTTCAGAAAAACAGGAGTCCCATCCCGGAAGGGGAAGAGTCCAAAACCAAAAAAGGAAAAAAATCAAAGTACTCTGTCCAGTGCCAATTTCAAAAAATGCTACTGTGCGCTGCAGCCAATGCCTGGAAGCATGACCAAGGAGCAGCTCCAGCACCAGTATCTGATCGCTTCCATTTTCTCCCTCTCCAAAGAGCTTGCATGTTCTGTTTTTAACAATATGGGAAGATCAGAGCCATTCTTATGAGGCTGTGTTTGGGCTGCTTTTCCACTTTTACCTGAGTCCTGAATGCTTTTTCAGTTAAAAGCCTCATTTTCCCCTCAAAGTACAAAAGAAATTCTTCTATTTTCTTGTCAACAAATTCAGAGCTGAAAGGAATAAGGGAAATATTAGGAACCAAATGAATAACATTGGCAGAACTTAATAAATAAGTGGGGGGAAATCAATAGTTTTAAATCTGGAGGTTCAGGAGCTAAGAACATGCTTTGCTGTTTGCACAAGTGAGTCCTTCATTATCCTAAGGAGAAACTAAACAAGAAGGGAAGAGGAAAAATGCGATTTTTGAGAGGCACAGGTGGTCCATAGAACATGACCTGTTTACTAAGGAGCATACAAAGGAAAGACATTGTCAGTTTCAATTTGTAACCTTTCCCTGTCCTAAGAAATAAGATAACTTGACAAATAAAGCTAGCCAGTCCTTTCATATAAGACCACTAAAGATTTATGTGCAGGAAGCCAATACTACTTCTACTTCTTTTAATTCCTGACTGGTAATGGCATGGCAGAAATTTTGCTAGCAAGTAGTCTTAAGCCATAGAGAAAGCATGAGCCTGGGGTCCCAGACACAAGCTAAAGGACTGTAGGGAAGCAGGTGTGATATAGGTGTGACAGCTGTTTAAACAAGTGTTTCCCAACTGCTATGTCCATTGGGCTGATATTTCCAAGGAAAAAACATGCAGCACTTTGGAGGGGTGCAGAGACAAAGAAAAGAAGGCTGTATATTATTATTGTTTCCAGATTGCTTCTGTTTTTGTTAAAATTAAAGATTAGAAATAAATCTATTTAAAATCAGTGATAAGATGTTGAATCAAACCAGTTTATCGTGAACTCTGAGTTTAAGATAAAACAGCATTTGAAAGGTCATTCACTTAGCTCTTTGAAAACTGAGATGGGTTTTACTGGCCTATGAAAAGTAAGTCAAATATCATTTAATATACAGTAGTCTAATGGTCTTGTGTGTGTCATAAAACATTAGAAATGCTGTGCCGTGTGACACTGAAATAGAGACAAGGAGGAGTTTTCGCAAAAGTGATGATCTTGAAAAGTGAGCGTGGGGAAGCAGTGTGCCAAGCCCCCTCACGAGCAAACACCTTGCAGTGCACTTTAGTAATTACTACTGACCACCCACCAGGATTTCAGAGGGAGAGTCTCCACAACGCCCCTAGGGACTAGGTGTAGACGAAAAGGGAACCCTGACCTTTCCCCCTCCATCTGAGCTCTTTGTAGCATTAGAGCCTAAGATTAAAACTGTATGTGGGAAGTATGAGTCATGGCTGTAATTACACAGAATCTACTAAAGAAGTGCATTCTATGGAGCTAACTTAATACCACACATGCATATAGCTTCAGAGAGAAGGCATGCAAGAGTCATCTTTGAAGCACCCTAGCAGAATGGACAATAAAAATCAAAGGTGAAATAAACCCAGCAAGAAAATTAAAATGCTTCACTCAGTTCAGTGGTAAATGAAGTTGGAGGCAGTATAAGCACATCATTGTTGCCTTAAATAGAACACAATGTGTGGCATGACAAAGACCACTGGTTGATCAGAGTCACACATGCTCAAAATTTTCACCATTAATCACTGATTTCTTAAAACTTCAGTAAATTCTCTATCAAATAAAGTCGATATGTTAAAACAATACATATGTCATGAGGCTCACAGGGGCATTTTATGCACTGGAAAATAAGAAGTCACCTAACTTAAATGACAAGGAGTCTGGTGGCACCTTAAAGACTAACAGATTTATTTGGGCATAAGCTTTCGTGGGTAAAAACCTCACTTCTTCAGATGCATAGAGTGAAAGTTACAGATGCAGGCATTATATACTGACACATGGAGAGAAGGGAGTTACTTCGCAAGTGGAGAACCAGTGTTGACAGGGCCAATTCAATCAGGGTGGATGTAGTCCACTCCCAGTAATAGATGAGGAGGTGTCAATTCCAGGAGAGGAAAAGCTGCTTCTGTAATGAGCCAGCCACTCCCAGTCCCTATTCAAGCCCAGATTAATGGTGTTAAATTTGCAAATGAATTTTACCATTTTTAACTTAAATGGTGAGTCTGTGGTGTGATACTTGTAATATGGACATCAGACTCTGCTCCTAAACAGATTGGCAAATGGGAAGAAGAATCCAGGACCAGCTCTATTGTGTGAGAGCCATGAGGACACTTTTCAGTACAGGCAAACTGTATTACACAGTTCAGCCACTAGATGGTGCAATGGACAGACTGGAAGTAACATTTTGCAAGATTTTACTTTGCAACCAAACTCCACAAGGAAACTGGAAACATACAGACAGGCTCTTTAATTTATGCTATGGAGAAGCATATCTTTAAAGATTTTACATTTACTGAAGACAGTCACAGAAATGACTATGAAAGGGTTCTGTCTATCTTTGATGCATACTTTATACCTCGGAGAAATGTGGTTTATGAAAGCGCATGTTTACACCAAAAAATTCAACAACCAGAAGAATCTGTTGAATCTTTTATCACAGCTTTACTTGCATTGACAGAAAACTGTTTTTGAGACTGTAAAAGATGAAAATATTGGAGATAGATTAGTTACAGAGCTTGCAGATAAAAATCTTTCACAGCAGCTAAAATTAAAAACAGATTTAACCCTACACACAGCTATTCAAATAGCAAACTAGTCTGAGATGGTGAAACAGCAAAACCAAGAGCAATTCACCAAACTTGAAAAGCAAGAAATAGCTTAGGAGCTGTAAAAGATGCAGCATAACTGCTGAAAGTAATTATCATAAGACCCCTGAGAATAAAATGGACAAATTCCAGGCTAGCTACAAAGCCTTTCAGCCTAAATGCAGGAGATGTGGAAAAATTCATAGCCCAAGACATATATGTACAGCCAAAGGCGCAAGATATAATAAATGCACAAAATACAGACATTTTGCAGCTCTTTGCTGCACCAAAGCAGTCAGGGAGTTGACCCATATTACAGACAGACAATCAAGCGTCACTGTTTCTGGGATCTATCTCATATGATCACACAGAGCCTGCCTGGAGAGTGAAACTGAATATTCATGGAAAGACTATTGACTTTAAAACTGACTCAGAAGCAGATGTGACAGTCGTAACAGAAGGGACTTACCATAGACTTCAACCCCTCTCAGAGCTGAAATCATCTGAGATCAACAGAGCAAACTTTACACATGGCAGATGCAGAAAAAGAAGATGATGACTCAAAGACTCCAAACTGACCAGAGACAGTAATTGCAATTAATGGACAGCCAGATGACCAAGTTGTTACACATCTGGGTTGTGTAATTAGAAAACCCATACAATTCAGAAACACTTAACAAAATTATATGTACTGAACTTTAAAGACAGCATGATAGTGTACATTTTGTAAAATTGTAGGAATGTAAAACTTAAAGAGGGAGATGTAATGGAATGCTAAACTGTATTTACTGTTACCCACTAGGTGGAGCCATGTATAACATATCTTATCTGCACATACAACAGCTCTAACTGGCGGTGCATTAAAGATATCTTAAAGAGAACACATCTCCTGTATCTCTCTCTGGGATGGAAGCTCTGTAACCAGTCCAAGACAGATTGCCACAAGACAGATCTCAGTGCTAAAGTACTGTGGAAAAACGTCAGGGGTCCTGAAATATTACTTGGCTATATGCTTACAAGGTGGTAGACAGCTACTACTTCAGCTGAGATCTGCAAAGGTTAGCTCTGAAAAGCCACAGAAGGCCAAAGGCCCCTGAGATGGAAACACTAACATGCAGTTTAACCATTCTTTTAAATTATTAAGAGTAATAAATTCAGTTTAAGGACAGAAGGGACCACCAGAGCATCTAGTCTAACCTCCAGTATGTCAAAGGACACCAACATCACCCAGCCACACCACACTAACCCCAATAACTGGAAGTAAAGCAAAGAATTACAGCCCTCTGGAGATTAAACTATTGTATGCCCCAGGGAGAGAACAGGAGGAGGAACTGAGGTACACCAATGCCCGAGGCCTTGGAATTGATTCAATGAGATATACCCAGAAAAAACTCACTTGTTCTTGGTTGCTTGTGTGGTTACGGTAACAGAGAACCCAAGAATCCCAGATGTATTTCTACATGTAGGGTACACATGGTAGCTTAAACCAAAAGGAGAAAAAAAAAGTTCACAAGAACAAGTCACTTTACATTTACCATCCACAACTACTAAATTAGAATATTGTCAATGCATAGATCTAAGGTTTTAGCAATGAGGCAGCTATCAATTCAAGATTCCCTCTGAAACAACAAATATCCAATCTCTTGAATCAAGTGGCCTTGGACTTTTCTTGTTCAGCAAACAAGCTAAGGTGAGTACTCGTGTTCTGAGAAATCCTGCACTCCAGATCTGTGAAATTACAAGAACCCTTATAGTAAAAGCTAAGATTCTGTCATGGGTATTTTTAGTAAAAGTCAGGGACAGGATGTGGGCAATAAACAAAAATTCATGGAAGCCCGTGACCTCTCCCTTCCCTGACTTTTACTAAAAATATCCGGGGTGGGGGAGGACTAACAATCAAGCACTGCCAAGGGGCTGACCTCAGACAGTTGCTCCAGCCTCAGGAGGGCTGACCCAACCCCAGCTGCTGCTTCAGCCCTGGGGACTGCTGCTCTGGCAGTCAGCCCACTGGCCAGCTGCTCTGGAAGCCCCAAGGCCGATCGCCAGCCATTGCTCCGGTGGCCCAGGGACTGACCTCCAGCAATGGCTCCAACCCCGCCACTGCTCCAGCCCCAAGGGGCTGACCCAACCCCGGCCACTCCTTCAGCCCTGGGGCTGACAGGTGCTCCAGCCCTGCCATAGCGGAAGAAGTCCCAGCGGTCCCAGAAAGTCATAGAATCCGTGATCTCCATGACAGAATCATACCATTACCCATAGTCCAGGTACTGTGCAGTCAGGGTTATTGGAGCCTCTTAGTTCACAGTAAAGAGCCTAAGTAGAAGGGGTTGTAGCTGCAGTTGTGACAGGAGTTAATTCAAGCTCAGCAATCCCCACCCTTTACATACGTGGTCCTGGGAAAGCTACAGTGGTAGCTACTTGGAAGACAGAGTGAAGGCATGTTACTTTTGAGGAAGTCTAGCTCCACAGCCAGAGTCAGTGCTGAACACCAAGCTAGAGAGAGAGTTTTCTGCTTAGTCAAATTATGTTACCATCTGGTTATGGACTCTAACCTGGAGGACAAGACCTTGCTGACAGTTATTTTTTCTGATGAGTAACTTGACCAGTTTAGAGTAGCTTTACTGCACATAACCTTGCCATTTTTATATGGCACCAAAGAAATTGCTGGTTTGGGCTTTAGGATGTTATACTGTACTTTCCGCCACACTGTGCCAGGAGTTAGTTATCATGCAGTAGGGAGTTTCCATAGTAACAAAGTACACAGGACTTACCACATATGATAAAGCAGTTGAACAGGAACTGTACCCAATGCAGTGAACTTACCCAAGGGTTTGCTTGGTTCGCAGAAAGTTGAAGCAAGGCTCCTCCATGTGCATCTGAATACAGCATGAGTTCAGTCAGAAGACATTCCTACTTACAGCAACAGATATCCCACAATGGCTGCTTTCGCTCAGACTCAGTACCGAAGAATGATCAAAACAAGAAACAATGGAAAGCCTAAACCGCAATGAATCCCCTCACCCCAGAAGGGAATTAGCATGGAGTAAAACTATAACCATGTAACCGAATTACAAGATATCCTGCTATTCAGGAAGTTTGATAGGAAGAAAGTTTACTTCACTGAGTTCATGAGTGAAACCGCTCATTGGGTTTTCCTGACATTATGCTTCAAACACCTATACCCATAGGGGAAATAAAAGGCTAATTCGAGTGGGTCACATGTATCATTAAGATCTGTAGTCTCATCTTGACACCAGCCATTGTTTACATGGCAGACGCTATCATATATAGGACACAGGTGCTCCTTCTATGGGCACGCATTAATAAACACTCAAGCATTATTAGGAAAGGAACAAAACTTACCACAAGCAGCTCCATAAGGGTGTATTCTCTTAAACTCCTAGCCCCCGACTAAAAGAACAAAAACACTAATTGAAAACAGTTTAGAGGTTTCTCATGGAGCTAAGAGCTATGGTCCAAGTAACTAGAGAGAGAGAGAGAACCAGTCAGAGTGGATTTCACCATTAAGTACATTGCAATTTGCAATAAAAAAAGCAATCTGAGACTTTCTGGCCTCCAATGTGTCCTCAAAGTAGCCCTCTGAGTGGAAGACAAGGGCTGCTCATGGCAAAGGGACCAGAATGGGTAAAAAGACAATCTTGAGGTAATCAAAGAATAGGGGGCATCAACAGGCACCATCTGGGGGAGAAAAGGTGAGGAAGAAAGGCAATATCAGGATGGAAGTGGATGGAACATGTCTGCATAAGGCATAATAGATCTAGAACTTTCACACACAAAATAATACAGACTATAACTTCATTAAGGGTTTTTAGCAACTTGGGCCTTGTTCATGTGTTTATGGGATCACTAGAATTCAAGACATATTCTTAAAATAACGGTTGGAGAATTGTTATGCTGATGGCTTTCCTAATCCAGACGGCATAACAAGTAGCAGCAGTCATCAACAAGGAAAATAAATGAGGATACTCAAATGCTTAACACATTACCTGATAATAGACTGTCACTTCAGAGTTGGCATCACCTCTGTTAAGGGTTTTCACCTTGCAGAGTAGGTGTGTGTTTGGCAGGTCTACCACCCGAAATTGAACAGGACATGGGTGTGGCAAGGGAAGGAACTGCAGGTTTCTGAAGGGAGTCCAAACAGCAAAGTGTCAAACACTTGCCCAATCCTTAACCCAAAACAAAGAACCATAATCTTCATAATCTAGATACCTCAATACTCAAAACAGCTTCAATCCCCTCCCCCTTCTACAACAAATCTAAAATCACATCCTACTTGAACCACCATCAGATCCGAACACCAAAACCAGAAGATTTCCAGAAAATAGGGACAATATAGTTACTACATTTCTTTTTAAAAAATGGAAATTCCAATTGTTTACAACATTCTTCTCCACACCACAAAGGAAAAGAAAATGTTAACCAAGACTTATAACTTTGTAATATAATTATAGCTCGCAAGGGTGAAAGGTGAAAGAACCAAAGAGAGATACTCACAGAACAACATAATTCAGAAAATCCTTTGATTCCTAGGAGATAAAACATAAACATAGCTTTATTTAGAAGAATGGGATTATTAGCCCTTTAAGCATCAGCTCCAATACATTCTACACCCATCCAGAAAGGGGCCAGCAAATATAGAACTGTCCAGTCCTCCCCAGCCTTGCCACATAGTACAGCATTTTGGCGGGAGGCTAGCCCAGCACCAAGTCTCTCCCTTCCCCTACAAGGTGACAGCATGATCTCATCTATATTATGCTGTGGGAAGAAAGAGACATCTCCAATCCAGTCTCTTGCTTGGGAGTTTGTAGCCTCTCAACAAGGCCAACGTGGAAGCCAAGAAAGAAGAAAGGGAATGAAAGAAATGACTTACAGAGTCTGCTGAGACGCTAAGCTGCAAGGGATATGCACAAAAGGAGTCAGGGGGAATCTGCGAAGGAGCAGCTTGGGCCCCTGCTGAGCAGGGCTGGCTCTAGGATTTTTGCCGCCCCAAGCAGAAACAATTTTGGCCGCCCCCCACACCCGTTTTTTTCTTACCCCACCCCCGGCCCCGCCTCAGCTCCGCCCCTTCCCCAAATCCCCAGCCCTGCCTCCTCCCCCCAGGCTCTCAAACCTGGGAGGGAGGGCGAGCAGCGGCATGCGAATCAGCTGTTTCGCGCGCTGTGGCGCGCAAGCGGCAGCAGCGGAGGTGAGCTAGGGCGGCCGGGGCACATTTTTAGGGGCGGCATTCTGGCGCCGGCCATGCCGCCCCTAAAAATGTGCCGCCCCAAGCACCAGCTTGTTTTGCTGGTGCCTAGAGCCGGCCCTGCTGCTGAGGCAGTGCCAACAAACAAGAGAAAAACAGCAGTTTATGGTAAGTGCTGCAGGACCTCACTGTGCAACTGCAGGGCATCCAGGGTCCTGAGATTTATTTAATTCACAAACTACAGCACTTAGTGCAAGACATCTCAAAGACTCCATAATACCCATAGCTAAACCTCAATTTCTCCTAAAAGCCAATGCCCATGTTTGTCATTACAAGAATCCCCACTCCCACCAATTTAGTGGTGTATTTCTCAAAAGGCTTGACAATCCAAGGACAAACGTTACCGATCAAGGAAAAACTGATAAACACAAAGTGAAGACAGCAAGTGGGTTCATGCCCCATACTCACTGACTACACAACAATGTTTGTGACACTGTATCAATGGGGCCAAACCCTGTTATATCCATGTTTTAAAAAGTCAGTTAGACTAGGTCAGACCTATGGCTGGATCCAGCAGTCACCAGGAAAAAGCCTTCACTGACTTCAATAGGAGTTTTGTGTGAGTAAAGATAACAGAATTGGACCCTAGCGAGGCTTAATATGGTTTGACCTTGCTACATAGGCTGTATCTACATTGGCAGTTGTAGGGAAGTTTTCCCCAGTTGTACCAGCACCTGGGGAGCTCCACTGGTAACAAACACTGGGCGCACAAGTACGAACAGGCTTTGGCCTTTTTTACCACCACAGAGTTTAAAAATTACTGAACATATTTAAACAACATGGGGGGAAAATCGTCAGTGGCCAGTCTACATTTGATGTCCCACAGTGTTAACAGCAGGAGCGGCGCCAGGGTTTTTGCCGCCCTAGGCGGCAGGGCTCCTCCTCTGAGCATTCGGCGGCGGGGGTCCTTCCGCTCCGCGTCTTTGGGGCACTTCAGCGGCAAGTCCCGGAGCGAGTGAAGGACCTGCCGCCGAATTTCCGCCGAGGGCAGCAAAATGCCACCCCCCAAATCCTGCCACCCTAGGCGACCGCCTAGGGTCGCCTGGTGGAAGCACCGGCCCTGGTTAACAGGGTGAGTTGCACTGGTGTGAAATACCCCTAAAACTGCTAGTGCAAGCAAAGTTATACACTGGCAAACCAGTGTTATAAATGGGGTTTGTGGCAATTGTGTTTGAACAACTTCTAAAAGTGGTGGTATGACCAGTTAATATAGACTTCAGGCTTCAGCTGCTGATAGGGTGACCAGACAGCAAGTGTGAAAAATTGGGACGGGGGTGGGGGGGTAATAGGAGCCTATATAAGAAAAAGACCCGAAAATCGGGACTGTCCCTATAAAATCGGGACATCTGGTCACCCTAGCTGCTGAGAATAGTACTCACTCTGCTTGTGAAGTTTCCTTGCACTAGCCCCTCCACATATAGATGTGATTTGAAGCCCTTAACAAAGGATGAGAGCGACTCAGTGTAAAGGCCCTTCATTAATCTCCTGTATCTATCTATCATAGACCACTTGCCATGCTCCAAAATTAAAGAACGCACATCTCTGTAACAAACAACAAAAAAGAATAGTTTTAATTGTCAATTCAGAATGTGTTGCCCAATAGGGTCTTTAAATCCTGAACTTCTACCCAAGCTCTCTGACAAGCAAAATTTCAGCTAATCCTAACCAGAAATACCAAAGTACTGGTTAATCTGCCCTAGAGCTTCAGTCCTACCTCAGCTCCAAAATGTCTCTGGTAACCTGAGACCTCTGTGGCACAACTGCTTTGGAATGTCCCTGGGGGAAAGACTTAAATACTGGTTCCCAGGATAACAACTGTATACTGCTTTTGAATTTTGGCAGGGTGTGTCACAATGCAGATTGTTTTTCTTTTCTAGGCCACTTATTTAACTCTGTGAGCCTCTATTTCAGACTGCTAGTGTTTTACTCAGCCAGCTATAGGAACTCCACAAAGTGAGCTGTCATCAGAAGCAGAATTGCAGAGTAACACAGGCTGTTTAAACAATAGAACATATTAATAAAAACATCTGAAATTTTCATTCTATATATTTGAAAACTGAACAGGCAGAGGGTTAATTATAAGGTCCAACCAATAAGAGCTGAAGCCAGCCCTACACTCCCTTCCTCCCCCACCCTCCCCAGCATCTCCCAGCAATATCAAGCCCGGAGGAAACAGAAGTGAACCCAAATATGTTATGAGAGCTAATGTGATTCGTGGATGTATAAGCAGCAGAACAGCTACTAGGAGTAGGGAGGAGGTATGCACCATTGATAAGACCATTATTGGAATACTATGTCCAGTTCTGGTGTCCACACTTCAAAAAGGATGTTCAAAAATTGGAAAGGCAAAGCCAAAGGCAGTAGACAAGGAACTGAGGGGGCTGGGGAGGGGTTGGTTGCACGGTGCTATGTAACTGCCTGAGGCAGCACAAGATGGGGACAGCGCATGTGCAACCCAACCAGGCACTGCTACCACAAATCTCCCATTACAAGTGCAGTGGCGCACAATTACCTAAAGTGGAGCACCCACAGGGACACTCCTAGGGTTACCATATGTCCGGTTTTTCCCGGACATGTCCGGCTTTTTGGTAATCAAACCCCCGTCCGGGGGGAATTGCCAAAAAGCCGAACATGTCCGGGAAAAATACCTGCCGGGCACTTCCCCTCCTGCGGCTGCTGTGCTCCTCCCCTGACTCTTCGGCTCTGTTTAAAGCCGAGCTGCCCGAGCGCTACTGGCTTCGGGCAGCCCCCTTGCCTCCGGACCCCAGCTGCCGGCCGGGCACTTCCCCTCCCGGGCTCCAGCTGCTGTGCTCCTCCCCTGACTCTTCAGCTCTGTTTAAGAGCCAAGCTGCCCGAGCGCTACCGGCTTCGGGCAG